TATATATATATATATATATATATATGAAGAACAGAAATAAAACATTAATTAAAATGGTTTCTGCATACACTAGCATTTACAAGTTTAGAGATGGTAAGATCTTTTGAAAGTATTTTTGAAAGTCTCACCAAGGCTGCATTTATTTGATCAATAATACAATAAAAGTGTAATATTATGACATTTTTACAATTTAAACTAACTGTTTTCTATTTGAATATATTTTAAAATGTAATTTATTTCTGTGATGTAAAGCTGAATTTTCAGCATCATCACTCCAGTCTTCAGTGTCACATGATTCTTCAGAAATCACTCTAATATGCTGATTTGCTGCTCAAGAAACATTTATTATTATTATCAATGTTGAAACTAGTTGTGCTGCTTAGTTTTGCAGAAACCATTTTTATCAGGATTTTAAAACCGATTTAAAACTAATCTTTTGTAACGTGTTTACTGTTACTTTTGATCGATTTGGTGCATCCTTGCAGAATAATAATATTTCTTAAAAAAAAAAAAAAATCTTACAGAACCCAAACGTTTGGACGGTAGTGTATATTATTATTTTGCAGTAGTAAAACATTAAAAACTTGGCATTTTGGCAGAAGCTGCAGTGTGAATTTATGGTAGCTGATAACTTCTAAAATTATCGTCTTACTAGACCATGTAACCTTTTGAACTGAAGTTGCAAATGAAGCGCTGCATTACAGCAGGTGTTTTTAGTTATGTTAATGTTAGCATGCGTCTGTCATGTACATGCTGTGTTGCTGCAGGTCTGTGTGTAGTAAGTGGAGCTGCTCAGAGCTTATTCATAATTCATAGATCAGCTCAGCATGCCTTATTATTACACAGCATCATGTGTTCCTGATCTGAACCTCTACAGCATCCTGTGATCACAGACCATCTCTCATAAGTGTTAGCACAGATGAAATTATATAACGCTTTTGCCAACAACAGTTTTTCACAACCAGTGTTTGTAATGTTATACCAACATGACTACTGCATACGACACAGTATTATGTTCAAGTTTAAGTTTATTTATTTATATACATGCCATTTTAAAATAATAGTATGTGAAATGGAATGCATTGTGCAACAATATATTTTTATATTTGTACACCCATTTATTTATTTAAGCATTTATTCATCTTAGTTAAAGGGATAAAGGATTCACCCAAAAATTGTCATCATATACTCACCCTCATGTTGTTCCAAACCTGTATGTGTTTCTTTATTCTGCTGAACACAAAAGATGTTTTGAAGAATGTTGGTAACCAAACAGTTGCTCATAGCCATTGACTTCCATAGTATTTTTTTCCATACTATGAAAGTCAGTGGCTACCAGCAAACTGTTTGGTTACCAAAATTCTTCAAAGTATTTTCATTTAGTATACTTGTAAACAAATATATTCGTGTAGGTCAAATATGGTCACTCTGAATGTGATACTTGTAATGCTCCACTGTGGACACAAGGTGGAGACATTACAGGGCGATATGCATGCGAGAGAGCGAGAAAGTGCAGTTTTCAGGAGGTTGGCAGCCAGAGTCTCAGTCTGTGATCTTCTACAGATTCCCTCCCCCAGCTGCTTCATCTAGCATTCCCTCTTTCAGCCTGATTTCCTCCCTTTGTTATATGTCCTGAGCTGTGGGGGGTGAGGCCGGGACATGAGCTGCCCATCGGATCATAAAGATCAATCAGTGGTTTGTGTTTGACTGAGTCTGTGATGAACGGCTCCATTCCTCTCTGTTCCTTTGGGTGGAGAACGCTCTCTTTGGCCTGCTGTTTGCCATTTATTTTCTGACTTCCACTTCCTCTTTGGATCCTTCAGTGTTTATGTTTGACTTCTCTTTTATTCTGCCTGTGAAGTTTTCTTCCTCCTTCGCTTTCACACTCTTGTGCTTTTCCTTACTAGATGTTTTCTTTCCCTGCTTCATGTCGTTTTTCTTTTTCTCCCTTGTCGTGGTTTGGCTCGATGTAGGGTTTAGTACATTTTTACCCTTTGTAGATTTTTTGGTGTTTTTAATAACCATTTCCACCCTGTGTCTTTTTTAGAATTATTTTTAGAATTATATGAAATATGTAAATGTTCTCCGTTATGACTGGCTGGCGTCTTGGTATGAGAAATTAGCTTACTTTTCAATATGTCTGTGTCTACATTTCATTAGAGTGAATAGAGAAAACCGAGTTTAAAAAAAAATACAAACCTGGAGGTGAAAGCAGACCATGTGGATGGCAGAGGTGGAAAAACTGTTTTGCTTGAGGATGATGTAATAGTAATGTGTTAACAGTGTTTGACAGCTTTGGCTCTGGGGCATTTGTTTCGGTGTGATGTAATAAACAGGCCCTGAGAGGTAGTGTCTGTTCCAGCGGGAGTTCAGTCCCTGGAAAAATTTCCCTCAACTCATACTAGTACAAACTCTCAGGGGTGGATTTAGTGAATTGGGGGCCCCAGGCAAAATATAAGAATGGGGCCCTATACATTTGCACACATTTTCCTAGATCAACCTTGAGGTTCCTTTTTCGTTGTGATGCTTGTTGTGATGTGTCCAGTGCTTCTACATTTTTCACGTACATGTTATAATGGCTTTCTTTCATGTTGTAGACCACGAAATATCTGTGTCTACATTTCATTAGAGTGAATAGAGAAAACCGAGTTTAAAAAAAAATACAAACCTGGAGGTGAAAGCAGACCATGTGGATGGCAGAGGTGGAAAAACTGTTTTGCTTGAGGATGATGTAATAGTAATGTGTTAACAGTGTTTGACAGCTTTGGCTCTGGGGCATTTGTTTCGGTGTGATGTAATAAACAGGCCCTGAGAGGTAGTGTCTGTTCCAGCGGGAGTTCAGTCCCTGGAAAAATTTCCCTCAACTCATACTAGTACAAACTCTCAGGGGTGGATTTAGTGAATTGGGGGCCCCAGGCAAAATATAAGAATGGGGCCCTATACATTTGCACACATTTTCCTAGATCAACCTTGAGGTTCCTTTTTCGTTGTGATGCTTGTTGTGATGTGTCCAGTGCTTCTACATTTTTCACGTACATGTTATAATGGCTTTCTTTCATGTTGTAGACCACGAAATAGCAACTGATTTACAGGTTTTCACAAAAACAAAATAAATTATAAAATGATAAACCTCACAATTGAGCGTTTAAACCAGGGGTGAGTCAGAAGTGTAAATTATTATATTTTGGAACGTCAGAAATTTAAACACAGATAGATGGATGGCCGGCAACACAGAAATTTAATTAGTTGAATCTAACTAACTATCTATCTGTCTGTATTGTTTTGTCATTGTTCTCCTGTCCCTAACTAACCTCAATGTGGCTATCCATCAATCTATCTAACTAAACAATCAACCAACTTACTTCTGTCCATCTAGTTAGTTCAGTTTAGTTACCTTATTTTCTCATGTTCCTAACTAACATTTATTTGGCTATCCATCAGCTATCTAATCAATCATCCAACTAACTTCTATCTGTCCATCAGTTTATTTACATTTATTTTCTCATATTTCTGCTGTTCCAAAGTAACACTGATGTGGTTATACGTATATTACCATCTTTACAAATACCAAACTAATAAACCAACTCATTTCTATCTATCCATTTGGTTGGTTCAATTGACTGTATTTCCTCGTGTTTCTTCTGTTCCTAACTAACATTTATGTGATTATCCATCTAGGGTAGGATAATCACTTTAAAAAAAAAAAAATGTTGAAAGTTAGTCAACTAAATTTATTTAAATGTAGCTAAAATAAATTGATTGCAACCACTTACCTTAAAACATTTAGTAAATTCAATGAATAATTTTTTCAATGTGGTTAGTTCAGTTTAGTTGCCTTATTTTCTCCTGTTCTTAACCAACATCTGTATGGGTATACGTTTATCTATGTTCCTAACTAACTAACTAACAAATCAATCAATCAAAGTTTATCCATCTAGTTGGTTAGTTCAGTTCGTAATAAACATCTATGTGGCTATCCATCCAACCATCTAACCGATGAGCCAACTTACTTCTAGCTGTCCATCTAGTTGGTTAGTTCAGTTTGGTCACCTTATTGTTCCTGTTTCGTAAAGCCACTGTTAGGCTCGCAGAATAGAAAACAAGGGTCTGTAAAGAACATGAGATGTAACTTTGCACCGTGCGCTGTCTGTCACGGCCTCAGCCCGCCATATGGCCTCATGTGTGTGATCCTGCTATAGTGTGGACTCCGAGAGACCTCTCAAATACCACATGACCCATAAACCTTCGGCTCCCACAGTAGATCTTTGACAGGGGACGTGTCTGGAGGTGCTTTTGGCCTGTTAGATGTGCTCTGTTAGAGAAAAAGACTAGTGCGAGAGAGAAGCAGAGGTCCCACGGTTCAGGTTACAGCTCTGACTACATGAGAGGTCGAGAGACAGTTATAGGGAGATACTCTCCCAGAGAGAGAGAGAGAGGAGGGCTGTCAGGGGAAATTGGCTGCCAGGCTGCTTGATTTGTGTCTCTGCTCGGCTCCTGCCAGCACAATAACCTCCCAGCATTCCTCTCATTCCTCTTCACTTCTAGTGTCCTCTCTCACACATGCGCGTATCCATACCTACAGCTGTCGCTGAGTTTCACACTAAACACACAGGGCAGAACGAATGAATTGATGTGCAGGTTTACAGTAGTGAGAGCAGCTGAATTAAGCTGTCATGTTGTAGAGCTTATAAAAAGGGCTTCAGATATATAACAGTTATTTAACTTGATAGCTTTGAGTTGTATTTTTACATTAACTTTACATTTTATTTGTAGAAAATATGGTAACACTTTTGTACAGGGACCAATTCTCACTATTAACTAGTTATTAACCAGTATTCTCACTATTAACTCACTATAACTAGTTATTATAACTAGCCTATTATTATCATATTGGCTGTTTATTAGTACTTTTAAAGCACATATTCTGCATGACCATATTCTATAAGCCTAATCCTACCCAATACCTAAACTTAACAACTACCTTACTAACAATTAATAAGCAGCAAATTAGGAGTTTATTGAGGCAAAAGTCGTAGTCAATGGTTTGTTAATGGCGAGAATTGGAAATATATATTATTTTTTTTATTATTATTCCATTTTTGTAGTCTCTTAAAGGCTATTTGAAATGATAAATAATCATATTAAGTTAATGTTTAATACACTTTTCTGGTCTAAGTATTCAGTGTTATTTTAAATAAAAAGTGTTTGTCTCTTATCTTTTGATTTCATATCTGAAACAACCTTTTGGTTATTATTTTAATGCCTATGTTAACCAATAGCCCAATAGCCATGTAGGCTTTGTTTTAGCAAATTCTCAATCAATTCTTGCATGTGATTTCACAGTCCAATCAATTCCCAATTCCTTTTCATTTAATATCCAGTTTTATTCAGGAATGCATTGCATTACAAGAGTTAGATGGGTTGCAAATGACATTTTTTCTGCATTATTGACACCTAATGCAATTGCAAAAATAATGAGATAATTGTGGCTTCCACCTTAAATTTCAGTTCACTTTGTTTATTTTGGACTTTTTACAATACACTGCCTAAACTGCCAAATTTCCTTTTTGTAATCATCATGTAATCATTGCTTTAATATGTTCACTGTTTCTGCTTAAATGAAAGTGTGGCATTAACTAACTGCATGATTTGTATACTCTGTACATTTCTGCCATATGTACAGTCACCTCTCATAACAGATCACTCCTAATTGTAATGTAGAAACATTAATTTTCTGTAAAGCTGCTTTGAGACAATATGTATTGTGAAAAGCACTATACAAAGAAATATGAACCAAACTGAATACACATTGTTCCATAGCAGCTTTACAGAAAATAGAAAAATAAAGAAAAAATTAAGCTCTCAAGCAGTGTTCATCTATCACAATTTTAGTATTTTTTTCTGCTTTTTATTACATTAATATTAATAGCGATACCATTAATTTCAGGGAGTGCGATGAACCCATGGCTCACTCTGCAAGCTCCGCCTCCAGTCTGGACAGCCACGCCCCCTCCGAAAGCAGCCAATCACAGGGAGTTCGTTGGGAGGAGCAGCAGAAAGTCATGGCATTAGAGCATCTATGTGGGGTGTTCAGAGTTGACCTGGGTCACATGAGGTCACTGCGTCTCTTCTTCAGGTCAGACGGGAGCCTATAAGAGTCCAGAGTTTATTTCAATATCCATACATTTTGATTTGTTTTTATTTTCAATTGTTTTTAATATCTCTCCTATTTATCTGTGCTTTTTGAAATTCATGCCACCCTATTTGAATAATCTCTGGCTTTTTACACTGTTGCGTTAAATCTTTTTCGTAAGTCTCTGTTTTATGAAACACCTCATATATTTAATTCACCTCCTTATATTGCATTACTGCTCTCATTTTAGGAAATTGTGTTATAGCTATAGCTGCAAGATATAAATTATTATTCCTTAACCTCAGGCTGATTTTGTTCAAGTTATTAAAATATTTCTGTGGTGTGAATAAAAATCTAATGTTTCTGTGGTTTATGGAAAATATGCATTAATAGTCCTTTTATGAAGAGGAAATACAATATAACAAATAGCATTACTGAGAAAAAGTCAGTGCAAACAATAGAGAAATCATCATAACTTACTCGCATCCTGATCTTTTAGTGAACTCATATCACTGTTCATTTTCCCCTTGATCTCCAGGATGTGGTCTTGTGTCCAGACCAGCCCTGTGAAAGTGTGTTGTGTTTCATGTGTGTGTGTTCCAGCGATGAGGCCTGCACCTGTGGCCAGCTGGTCATCGCCAGCAGAGAGAGCCAGTACAAGATCCTTCACTTCCACCACGCGGGGCTGGATAAACTGGCCGAGGTGTTTCAGCAGTGGAAATGCTGCAGGGAGACGCAGCTCAAAGACCAGGTCTGGAGAGTCTAACACCATTCATCAGTTTAACACATTTATATCATATGCAAGGCACACACTCTCACACTCTCATATACACTAATGCTCAAAAGTTTGGGGTCTGTAAGATTTTTTTAAATGTTTTTGAAAGAAGTCTCTTATGCTCATTTAATCAAAAATACAGTACAGACAGTAATATTATGAAATATTATTACAATTTGAAATTTGAATTTTTTTTTTTTGTATTTTCCGCTACTAAATAAAAAAAAAAGTCATTGCCAGTTTATTTTCCTCACAATTCTGATGCGAGTTATAAAGTCTAATTCTGAGGGAAAGAAGACTGATATGTTCTCAGAATTGCGAGTTTATATCTCACAATTCTGACTTTTATAACTCGCAATAAATAAATAAATAAATTGCAATAAAGTCGCAATTTTGAGAAAAAAGTTACAATTGCAAGATGAAGTCGCAATTCTGAAAAATAATAGTTGCAATTCTGAGAGAATTTTTTTTTGCAAGATATAAAAAAAAAAAAGTCAGAATTGCAACTTGATTTCTCAGAATTCTGAATTTATAACTTGCAAGTGCAAGTTTATATCTCAATTCTGAGAAAAAAAGATCAGAATTGTGAGATGTAAACTTGCAATTGTGAGAAAAAAAGTCAGAATTGTGAGATAAAAAGTAGAGGTCAACCGATGTATCGGTTTTGCCGATTAATCGGCACCGATAGTTAATTGCTGGAACTGTTGGTTATTGGCAAAAATCAATGCCGATAGTTTTCCGGATTGTGTCTGTTGCTGGAGACACAAGAAGGGTCTGCTGTCATTATACAATGCGAGAGCGGCCTCTAGAGGTGGAAATCACTGACACTGCGTGTTGTTTGTTTTGACACGTGAGGCTGCGCAATGCACAGCCGAACTTCAAACTGATCTATGCTGATTTGTTCATTCTTGAAGTAAACTTTTTCCCATTTGGTGATTAAATAAACCGTTTTAGACTGCCATTTGAATTGAAAGTGACGCGACACGTCCGGTGTGTGTGTGTGTGTGATAACCTGAGAGTTTGTCGTAGATGCAGCGCTGTGCTTGTGCCCGATGTGTGACTGCCGTATTTTGTTATCTTGATTAGACAATCATCAAGTGTTCTAGAATAGAAGCAGTTAAAGTGTGAGAGTATACACGCAATACCCATATGTATGTCATTTTAATGCTATGGCCTTTGTTTAGATATTTAGGTCGCCGTGATTTTGCCAGGTCTTTTGTTGATCCTGGAACAATATTACTGTCCAAAAACATAGCCCTATTCTGATTGGTTGATTGGGATGTTGATCCAGGAACAGGTTGTACTTGGTGAAATCACGTTCACCGTGGTTAAATTTTTTTTAATATAAATATTAAAGCACTATTTTGGTTTTTGTTCAGTATCCATTTTAAAAACTGTCCAGTGTGGTCCAACCTAGCAATCGGTATTGGTAAAATCCGGTAAAATCGGTCAACCTCGCAATTACCTTTTTTTATTTTTATCAATATCAATTAAAAAGCCCTCTGTCATGCACCCCTGCTGAATAACTGATCCCAAATATTTGAATGGTAGTATTTCTTGCCAGCCGTTGGTTTCTTAAATTAAATGGCATTAAATAAGAACATTTTAATTAAATTAATTAAATATATTACAAATTTAATAATAAACACAAAAATCACATATGGTCAAACACATTCAATTTCTATAAAATATAATTAGGGCCCGAGCACCGATGGTGTGAGGACCCTATTGGAATTGCTTCGTTTCTTATTATTAGGGCCCGACTTCGGGGGCATCGACCCATCCATCCGTGGTGAAGTGTGGCCCTTCCTGCTGCACTACTACAGCTGTGAATCCACGTCGGAGGAGCGGGAAGCCTGGAGACTGCAGAAGCGTGTGGAGTACCAGGAGATCCAGCAGAGGAGGTTAGTGGAGAGACTAGTGCTGAACTAGAAGCCAGTTCCACACCCATTATCCTTCAACCATAGCAGTCTGCCATGCTTTCCCTGATACATTTGAATATTCTGCAAATAAAATGAGAAAAACCAGTGTTACACATTTTAAATTTGTTTTGCTTTAGTTGTAGTTGTCGTCTTTTGCATTCATTTCAATTGTAACTTTTAATGTTCCAGTCATTTTGACCCAGGAGGATTTTCTTTTTTCCAAAAATGTTATCGCATTGGACTAAAACTTTCTGAATTTACCTCACACAGGGTATAACAACAAAAAATCGATAGTTTTTGTACTTTTTATAAAAAAAATTTACATTCCTGGGCTGCGTTTCTCAAAATCATCGTATGCCTAAAGGGTTAGTTCACCCCAAAATGAAAATTCTGTCATTAATTACTCACCCTCATGTCGTTTGAAACCTGTAAGACCTTCGTTCATCTTCGGAACACAAATTAAGATATTTTTGATGGAATCTGAGAGCTGTCTGACCCTCCATAGACAGCAATACAACTGTAATGTTCCCAGACAGAGACGTAGCAAGGACATCGGTAAAACAGTCCATGTGACATCAGTGGCTCAACTTCAATTTTGCAAAGCTACGAGAATACTTTTTGTGCGCAAAGAAAACAAAAATAACATAATTTATTTAACAATTCTTCTCCCCCGAGTTACGTCTTCTGCTGTTTTGGAGAGTATCCAAGAACGTAATCGGCGTTGTTTACGTTCGGGGGAGAAAGCACGCACGCGCATGAACGTAATCTGCATAATCAGCGTTGTTTATGCTTAGGGGAAAGCGTGCGTATGCATTGTGATACTCTCTAAAATAGGAGAAGACGTAACTCGGGAGAGAAGAATTGTTGAAAAAAATATGTTGTTTTTGTTTTCTTTGCGCTCAAAAAGTATTCTCG